ATTATACAATGACAATACTACAATACTATTTTTAGTATTAATACTACTACAGTTTATGGAGCAAACTTTTAATGTTTTCTCTCTCTTTTGTAATTAGGGTCCACCTGGCCCAAAAGGTGACAAGGTAAGAGCCCTTTCAACACTTCTTACATCAACAATTTATGCAACCATGCATGTATCCCATTTTTACAGCTGCAGAAATATTGAATATCCCTTAATATCAGTTGATATGGTTTTAAATGTGACAGTTGGAATGTCAGGGCAGAGGGCAGTTTCTTTATTTACATAAATTAAGTATATTATTAAAAATATTTCAGAATGTTTCATGTCAGGGCTGATGTAAAGACGAAAATTTAAACGAAAGACTGTGATGTAATTTTGAACAAAACATTCACATTTTTCAGTTGCTTTTGAAAGTGTTCTCGTGGTTTGAAGAAGATTACCTTTGCACACTTTCAGGAGACTTTGCTCCAGTTGTTAAACACCTTCGAATTGGTATTGGTCAACAGTGATGATGTAATAATAGGTGGCCTGGGGCTCCACCTGCTTTGACACAAACTTCTTTTCCAGTTAATTTCTTCACTCAGTCTATCACATATTTTCAGCTGGTTAACACGTCTTTTTAACCATGAGTAAAAAACAAAGGTGAGTATACTAGAGGATTCATTCTCAATGTATATAATTACCACCAATAGAGAATATGACACACTATTTCTCTAATTTCAGCTGTAAGCATTCTGGTCAAAGGCAAAATTATTTCTTCACTTAGTTCTCAATTAAATTTTATATGGAATCTATCCATAGAGAATGGATTTCAATGAAGCTATGCAGTCAGTCACTGCATATGATGTGACCCTGACCTCAAGGCTCATTTTGGAATATCTTAATCCTCTCATCGTTCACAGCAGGCCCCAGGCTAAAGTGTTTTAATTATTTACAGAGCATCCCTATATAAAACAGATGCCAAGCATGAAAAACGACCAAATAGTTTTTATTAGTCTTTATTAGTCCCAACAAGCGGTGATCCAGCACAGAAATACTAAAAGCATACAAGTGTTGGAAGTTCTTCACATGTTATGGAAATACATTGTTGTGGCATTGCAGTCAAGACAGAGCCAAAATGTTTTGATCATCACCACACATGCTTTTCCAGCATGGATATTTTGTAATTGACCAGTGAGCAGAAATATTCCATTTGAAACATTGACATTCCTCATGTAGAGGACTGGGTGTACCCTCTTTTGATAGCATTTTGAGTCCAGGCAATTATACATCTGGAAACCCAGCTTGCATGATCTGTTAGGCAAGAGCTGAGTTTCAAAATTTAATCCACCCATGCAGAGGTTCAGGACTCTCTACAGTCGCTACTATTTGGCATGTGCTGTAACGATGGCCGCAAATCCCAAATTAAATGTAAACTACTCTCTTTAGACATTCCAATCAACAGCCATGCGCCTCATTTGTCTCTGAGTCCTTAGCCAAAGTATGAAGGGGGGATGAGTTGTGTTCCCTTCATACAGTTACTCTGGAGTCACACTCTGACTTGATCATATACTTCGAGATGGCACCGCAAATGGCAGCCATGACGCTGAGCTCCGCAATTCTTCTGATGTTTTTTTTTGTTTGTTCTGTGTTTTGACATTCTTCTTCTATAAGTTTTACCAGAGACAAACGCCTTAACATTAAGCAACACATCCCAGACACTTTTTTCAGTTTTTTGATTATTCTGGCATTTTATTGGACATTCTAGTCAGAGGTACAGCTGTGTTGTTCAAATGCACGTGCAGACGCAGAAGAGGGAAACGCACTAGCAGCTTTCGAACTGCGCTCCCAAGCATTCATCTTGCGAATGTTCGTTCCCTTCCTAACAAAACGAATGAACATCTTCTCGCACCAACAAGGACTTTTCAAACTCTGCTGCAATGTGCAGCAATCATTCTTGGATATTTTAACAAATCAAATCTCTCCCGTGAACTGCCAAAATACAAGCAGCATATTACATGTCCCACCAGAGACAGTAATATAGTGGATCACTGTTACACCACAATAAAAGATGCATATTACTCTGTCCCACGAGCAGCTTTGGTGCTCTCTAATCACTGTTTGATTAATATTATACCGACCTACAGGCAGAAACTGAAATCAGCTAAACCTGTTTTAAGGACTGTTAACCTGTTAACCTGCACCCCCCATTTGGGGACTCACAGCTGAAAATGACCTACCTAACTTAAAATTGTAACAGTTCCTGACAACAGTGTGCGACACACACAATCCTTTGGGCTTTACTATCCATCATCCAGAGTTGATAATGCTCAAAAAGATAAAAAGTTATAGACACTGAAGTGTCTAAAAATTGTACCACGCTGAATTATTATTTTTTTTCATATACAGATACACGAAATCAGTCCTGGGGTAATCCATAAAAGTAATGGGTTGAAAGTCACATGTCTCATGAGTTTATATTTCAAATCTGAAGAAGATACCATGAAAAATTTGATTCCTGCAACCATTTTTTGAGACTATGCCTAGTCCCTTATTGTATTGTCTAGAAAAATACAATAAGAATATTCTTTGAGTAGTAAAAAGAAAAAGAAAAAGAATTAGCTTTGTATGTCAAGTATGTACTCTGATTGCTGGTCATACAGTCAGTAATCTAATGCTGATGGCCAGTCATACAGATGGTAATCATACAGATGACCGGCCATATAGTCAATAGTCTCAATCTTATGGCCGTTCATATAGACAGCATTCACACTGATAGCTGGTCATACAGTCAGTAATCACATGCTGATGTGCAGTCATACAGATGGTAATCATGCATATACAGCCACATTCCCCACAAACACACACACATATATGAAAAATGTTGAATAAGAAAAAAAAGAATTATTTGTGCAAAAAGCCGATCGCTAAGTTACACCTCCATCAGATTACAGGTGTGTCACAGCTTGCATCACGAGCCGTCACAAGAGAGCGTCAGAATTCAAATAAACAAGATTCCGCATATCTTTTACTTTTTTTTAGTGGATGGTCTCATTCTGTTTGTGTTTTTTTACTACCAAGTTATTCCATAACGGATACAAACAATAACTGTCCCCAAAGAAATGAGATGTAAACAAAGGAATATACATCCATATTACAACGTTATTGTTTCGTTGGAAACTAAAAGTGCTCTATGGGATGTTGTTCAGTGGACCCTTGCCTTGCTAACTAAACCGGGATTTACAGCAGTGGATGCGTTTTTGACTCGTTATTATGATGAATCTGGTACGTACTGCATTTTTATTATGCATGTTTGGATGTGTACTGCCTATACAAATTTAGCAAATACATTCCTTATAAGCTTTCCATTGAAAAACAGCGATCTATCGTCGATGCTTGAGGCTTAGACTTTTAGAATGATATATAGTTTGTCAAGATTAATTTTGTCCCTTTTCATTTAATCTATTCGGAAATTTTGACACATGCAAACAAAGAGCATTCAGTGCACTGGCATCCAGGTGCAGGTTAACAGGTTAAAAGATGTACTAATGAAGCAGAGCAGGATTTACAAGCCTGTTTCGACCTCACTGATTGGAGTGTTTTTGAAGCTGCTGCCACCGATCTGGATGAGCTCACAGAGACTGTAACTTCATATATCAGTTTCTGTGAGGATATGTGCATCCCCACCAGGACATTCTTATCATTCAATAATGATAAACCGTGGTTTACTGGGAAACTCAAACACCACACCCCATCCGCTCTGATCTGCACTTCACACACTCACCTACCACCCCACCCCCTTGCAACCCCCCTCCCTCACCATTCAACATGCGTTTAAGGTCTGTGTAGAGGATGTGAACCGGGTCTTCAGGAAGCAGAAATCTAAGAAAGCTTCAGGCCCAGACGGTGTTTCACCTGCCTGTTTAAAAGTCTGCGCTGACCAACTGGCCCCCATCTTCACACAGATCTTCAACAGATAACTGGAGCTGTGTGAAGTTCCCTGCTGCTTTAAATGCTCCACCATCATTCCGGTCCCCAAAAAGCCCAAAATCACTGGACTTAATGATTACAGACCTGTCGCTCTCATGTCTGTGGTCATGAATAATTTGAGCGACTGGTCCTGGCCTACCTGAAGGACATCACTGAACCATTGCTGGATCCTCTTCAATTCGCCTACAGAGCAAACAGGTCTGTGGACGATGCAGTCAACATGGGACTGCATTACATCCTGCAACACGTCAACAGACCTGGGAATTACGCAAGGATCCTATTTGTGGACTTCAGTTCGGCCTTCAATACCATCATGCCTGACCTGCTCTGACAAACTGACACAGCTCTCTGTGCCCACCTCTCACATAACTGCATTAAACTGCATTAATAACTTTAAACATTATTAGCTCTAAAATTACGTTTTGGAATTTGCAATGAAAGGTTTGGGATGAGGTGCGTAAAAAATAGTTCAACACATTTCAGGACGGAAACATGTCAAATGTCTTGAAACAAATAATTTGAACAATGTCTTGATGTGTGGTTGTGACTCCTGGCCGTTAAAATTATTAGAGAAATAAACTCCCGAAGTGGTACTCCGTGCCTATTAATGGAATGGTCTTTCTGAGTTCTCAAACAAATTAAGAGCTACATTCAATTTTTATTGACTGTACACAATCGCTTATTGCGATAGAAAACACTGTAACGTTTCCACTGATTAAGAAATATTTTTGATTGCTTGGGTGCTAATATTAGGCCTATTATATTAATAGGGAAGGGGGGCCCAAAAATATGTTTTGCCTATGTCACGAAAAGAGGTAAATCCGGCCCTGCCAGGACTATCACCATCAGCACTGGCAGCCCTCAGGGTTGTGTTCTCTCCCCACCGCTCTTCTCCGTGTACACGAATGACTGCACTTCAAAGGACCTTCTGGCCAGCGCTACAGAGCATTGACCACCAGAACAGCCAGGCACAAGAACAGTTTTTAAGAAAAATTTAACTTTCATAATTATACACCGTCCATCACAACTGTCATATTTATACACATAATCCAAAATGTGTACACTTGTAAACTGCACACTTTGTAAATAACATATCTGCACACTTATAACATATCTGTACATTTATTTAAACAACTAAATTTTTTTTCCAATACTTCTAATCTGTATATAGTACATTATTTAATTTTTGTATTTCTTATATTGGTGTTATATTCCGTCCCTACTGTGTTATTCCTATGTATGTCTGCACTATGTCTGTACTTTCTTCTGCACTCCTGTTGCTAAGTCAAATTCCTTGTGTGTGGAGGAAGCTCTTTTCTTGCGCTCTTGAGCTCTTTCTAAAGAGATTCTGCAGCACAGCATTTTAATCTGTAAATACCAGCAGTTTTGTGCATTCATTGTGTACCTATTAGAAATTATTCAGAACTTCCAATATTATAGACATTCCCTGATCAGCCAAAGTGTGCCATGAGGCTTAGGAAAGCTCACACTGCCAAATAAACAAACTAAATTATTTTGTACTTTTCTTGGAAGACAGTGTAGATGTCTTTGTTTTGCATTTGGTTCTTCACCCACCTAGTTGCTTTCTAACTCAGATTCCATTTACGCTGATGTGCTACACGGGGGGGATTGTTTCTTTCTTTTGTATTATTTAATCATGTTAATTTAACAATAAAAAATATTGTTAATGGAAAGAATACAATTTTTATGGTTGGCAGTTACAAAAATGTGTCATGCATTATGGGATAGTATTTTGGTGCCTTATTTCATTAACTAGTTGAATCTTTAAATTATTCAATAGGCTTTAACTAAACAACATAATAATTAACAAACACCTTTATGTACTTTATGTAATGTACATTTTATAAACAAAAATAAAAGTTATTATATAAATAAATTATTAAAATAAAATGTCACTACACTACCAAAATATTTTTTTTGTTCTGATAAATGTAATATAATGTTTAGTTATAAAACTTTTATGGTAAGGTATTGTTACAATTAATATAACATATTCACATTTGTTTTCTGTTAAGTTTATAAACATTGTTTTAAGTGTGCACACTCATTCCTCTTCCTGACCTGACAATTTGTGTGTGGAAAAAAAAGTGATTTTACTCTCAACTGTAATTAATTTTTGAGAATGTGGATATCGTGAATGTATTTTAAATTACTCCTTTCATTGCTTGTATTTGTGTACAATATTACAAAAATGAAATTCTCTTATTCCACATTTTTTTTGCTCTTTTTTTATAGGGGGATCAAGGTGACCAGGGACCAAGGGTATGTGTTTTTATTTTTGTTTGTTTTTGTTTTTTTCTTCTTGCATGTCCTGTTCTAATGAGTGAATGAATGTGATATTTCTCCCATATGGCCTTGCGGGCTGCATGTTTGAAATGCATGGGTTTCTTAATGGTGTGTGTAAAAAAAAAAAAGGCTTGGAAAGGCCAAACTATAAACACCTCAAGGAGCCATTTTAAATGTTCAGTACCAGCAGTCTGCCTGCAATTCTTGCAATTCAATAAAGCTGAAGGTTTTGTAGTAGAATCGAGGTCCTAACATACTCTGACATTCCAGTGACATATGAGTATTCTAGACTAAGAGAATTATTTTCAGCTCAGTTGCTTGAGAACTTGATTACTTTACAGGATGATTAACAATGCATTTAGCTACATTTGGCAGATTATGAAATAAATCACTTAAATATCTCATTCCATTATTCTTGCATGTGTGCTAAGTTTCAATAACCGCTCTTTAGCTGGTTGAAACACAGCTTCTCTCTAACACAGAATAAGTGCCTTTGCCTCTCCTTACCTCTCTCTCTGTTATTTGGTGCATTTTTCTGACATCTGTCATAATCTTGAATGGTCTATGAGGGGGTCTCAGCTTTAAGTGCCTTTAAATGTTTTTCCCCACAGATTGGAGCAAGCAGATGTTTAAAAAAAAAAAGTAACTTGGGCCTGCCAGAGGCATTTAATTATTTTAATCTGATGATGTCCTCAGTTGCTTGAGAACTTGATTACTTTACAGGATGATTAACAATGCATTTAGCTACATTTGGCAGATTATGAAATAAATCACTTAAATATCTCATTCCATTATTCTTGCATGTGTGCTAAGTTTCAATAACCGCTCTTTAGCTGGTTGAAACACAGCTTCTCTCTAACACAGAATAAGTGCCTTTGCCTCTCCTTACCTCTCTCTCTGTTATTTGGTGCATTTTTCTGACATCTGTCATAATCTTGAATGGTCTATGAGGGGGTCTCAGCTTTAAGTGCCTTTAAATGTTTTTCCCCACAGATTGGAGCAAGCAGATGTTTAAAAAAAAAAGTAACTTGGGCCTGCCAGAGGCATTTAATTATTTTAATCTGATGATGTTCACCATGTTTTCATAGCAAATCTCTCTTAACACTTATGTTAAATTACCCATTTTACAGTGAGAGTCTGTGGGATTATAACTTGTGAATTTCATTTGGTATCAGTGCAATAAGGACATATTTGGGTAATTATTTACATTACAATAAATTCAGTGGTATTTGAATTATTTCTCAAAAATCCTGCATATAGAGGGTATGCACATGATGTCACAGTAAGCAGGAGTCACTCACTAAAGCCCTATTCACACAGGATTAGTGTTACCTGGTGACTTCCAGTCATTTGTAATAATTGTGAAGGTTGTCTGTGATCTTAATCCCGTGCGAATCGGCCATGTCTGTAATTTGTAAAGTAAAAATTCCCCCGCAAATGACCTACCATATTTCGCCGAACACCGAGGTCCTGTGATAATATTAGTCCCGTGCGAATCGGCATCTCTGTGATTCGGCCAGCATTTGGCGGGTCACATATCATTTTTTCGAGGTTTTTGTTTGCTGTGCACCTTTTTATCCATCTTTCGCGAAGAATGGAGTTGCGTTGGAGTGTTTGATAGTATTTTGGGTGCTGTCATCATATCGCTGTATATATGCTCTGCTCTCAGCGAGCACAGGTTGAGTTGAGCCCATTCCAGGAGGCGCTCTACCAGAATGAAGAGATGCTTCGAGAAGAGGCCTTCCTGGCGATTTATGTAGGACACCACAGACATGTTGTCCGATCGGATTAGCACATGGTGCCCCTTTAGGACTGGCAGGAAGAACTGACAGGCTTGACATACTGCTAGCATTTCCAGGCAGTTGATGTGGAAGACAACTGTCCTTCTGCAAACCATCTCCATGGTCACGCCCTGTTCCATCCAGCGGGAGCTCTTCCAGGGGGCCAGGGCTGTTACACAGGCCTGATTTACCCTGACCTGCAGGCGTCCGTGACGCCACGCATGGGATGGAACCCGTGGTTTCAACCAGCGCTGAAGGTGGCGCATACGAAGCAGACCCAACTGTAGCGCTGGCGATGCTGCCACCACCATGAGGTCCAGCATCCTCTGAAACGTTTTGAGAGGGCGAGTGGTGCCAATCTCGAAGGAGGTCGCCAGCCTCCGTATGGCCAAAACCCGTTCCGGCGCGACTACAGCTCTCATTCGGGCTGAGTCGAAAATTGTTCCCAGGAACGATATTCGCTGGCTGGGGAACAGCGTGCTGATGGCAAAATTGACCCTGAGTCCCAGGCACTCCAGATGGCTGAGCAGGAGGGTCCTGTGTGATACTAGTTCTACCTCCGACTGGACCAGAACGAGCCAGTCATTGAGGTAGTTGAGAATGCGGATTCCCATCTGTCTCAGAGGGGAGAGAGCCATGTCCATGCACTAAATAAAAGTGCGAGGGGCCAGAAAATATGCATCCTTCAGGTCCAGCAAAAAGAACCAGTCTCCTGAGCGAATTTGTGCATTCTTGTGGATCTGTTTCAGCGTAGTCATCCTGAACGACCTTTTCATGAGGGCGTGATTCAGGTGTCTGAGATCGAGGATGGGCCGGACACCACCATCCTTTTTGGGGACGAGGAAGTAGTGGCTGTGGAAGCCTGACTCGCTCTGAGCTGGGGGAACCGTTTCTACGGCTCCTATTGACAGCAAATTCATCACCTCTGAGCGCAGGACGTGTGCGTCTTTGCTCTAAACTGAGGTGGAAACCACGCAGCTGAATTGCAGGGTATTCGAGCGAATTGCAGTGAATAACCTAATTTTATTGTCTCCAACACCCAGTTTGGCACTACAAGGATGGCCTGCCAGGCCTCAGCCTGTGTGACAAGGGGTTGGATTAAATTGAGAGGCTGGTCACCGTATGGGGACCCCACACTCAGAAGAAGAAATTTGCTTTCCCTGAAAATGCTTTCAAAAAATGCTTCGCTAGACTTAATGCTCTTATAGCGAGAGCAGTCAACCCCCTGTGCGCGCTGCTTCAGCATGGGCGTGGCCGAGACGTGTTCAATTTGAAGCTGTCAGTGATAATAATCATTAGTGACAGCATTCTCTTTTAATCCGCCTAAAAAGATCAAACCGCTCGTTAGAAGATGAGTTTTGATGATCTTCATGTGTAAACACTCTGGCAGATCAAAAATGCTGCGCGCATTCTCTCAAATCCACTCATAGCGGACGAGGGGAGGGGCGGGGCCGTCTTCATTGAAGGTGAGCCGCGAGCAAAGCAGAGTGAAACATGAACTCTCGTAGTAAGAGTGGTCTATCTCAGCAGTGCAGCCTCTGCGTGGGCGTGACCCAAGCGTGAGGCACGTTCAGATACAAAGCTGTCAGCGATATTGAATCATCAATATCAAACCGCCCAGGAGTATTGAGCTGCTCGACAATGAGGGGCGCCGATCCTCACGTGTAAACACACTGGCAGATCAAAGAGCTGGGGCAGACTGCTTTCGTGGTAAAAGCAGCCCGTGTCTGTGAGCGCAGCGAGTACGCAGGCTCTATGTCGGCGTGAGATCGCTCAAACCCAGTTGCTTAGTTCTCAGGCTTCGCTGTTTCTCTCTCCGAGGCTTGCTGAGAGAGGAGAAACGAGAGGCTGGACATTCTGAAGGAGGAGCTGCCTTCAGTAAAAGGCGGTCCACGAGTGGAGAAGAGCGAGACTCATGCTTTGAGTGAGCATTCTGTCTCAGTGAGTGCGCAGCTCACTGCCCTTCTGCTGCGGTTCCGAGTGCAATGGGGAGAGAGAGCACGCAGGCACAGTGCCGGCATGAGATCGCTCAAACCCGGTTGCTTATTCCCTGACTTCGCTGTTTCCCTCTCCGAGGCTCGCTGAGAGAGGAGAAATGGGAGGCGGTCCGCGAGTGGAGAATAACGAGACTCATGCTTTCAACGAGAGCATTCCATTAATGAATTGTGTTAACAGCATTCATTTTGAAGCAGTTAATAATTCAAACATTGGTCAAATTAATCATTAATTCAACATATATACATAACATCCCTCGGTTCTGCACGTAACCATGGTTCCCCAAGGGAACGAGACGCTGCATCGAAATGCTTTGGGAACACCTCTGCATGACCGTGCTCTGAAGCACGTGTGAAATTAGTCCAACAGAGCAGCGAGACGTCACGAGTGGGGTGATGTGAGCAACGAGGAAGCATAAATGCGCACCCAGCAAAACGCAGTTTAGCTTTTGATGAAGTGAGCACTTGCAGGGATGCAGGGATGCAGGGAGTATGGCAAGGAGATGCAGCATCTCATTCCCTTGGGGAACCATGGTTACATGCGTAACCTAGGCATGTTCCCCTTCAGGAACTCAAGCTGCGTTTAAATGCTTTGGGAACGAAAATACCCACTGCGCCATACTACCAAGTCCCTGACTGGTGTGTGTATCTCACGAGCACATCACGACAAGAGGACTTGGGACCCTGGGGTAGATGCCAGCTCCAGGCTATAGAAGTGGACAAACTTGTGCGGAGAGGACCAGCCTGCCACAGCACAAATGTCCTGCAGAGCCACGCCCAAAGTGAAAGCCTTGGAGGCCGCACTCCTGGTCAAGTGCGCTCTGACCCCTATAGGTGACAGGAGGCCAGAGGACTCGTAGGCTAGTGAGATAGTCTCAACTACCCACCTACTCATAGTCTGCTTTTCTCACTGGAAATCCTTTCTTAGGCGGACCAAAGGAAACAAAGAGCTGGGTCCTGGTGTAGAAGTGGGCACCTTAGTGACATACCCTGGCCTTGGGTAAAAGAACGCCCTAACCATGCCTGGAGCAAACTCCAGGCATGAAACTGAAAGTGCCTGAAGATCCTCGATCCTCTTAAGGGAGGTAATAGTGAGGAGGAAAACAGTCTTAAGAGTGAGGAACCTGTCTGGAACCTCCTCAATGGTTTCGAAGGGGGCATTGCACAGGCCCGCCAGAACCACCAGCAAGTCCCATGAAGG